TCAGTAATGAGTATACATATACTAAATAAAAGAGAAGAGAATGAAGAATTGATGCAGGAAATAAAAGTGTACAATTTATTAATAATTTATTAATAATGTACAGTGTCACTGATAGATTATAAAAGAGATACATTGAAACTGGACCAGGAAATATCCAGTGAACAGACACTAGATAAAAGAGAAGAGGATCAACAGGTTATTCATCAAGAGATAAAGGAACAGTTGGATAGACTAATGATAACTGTGGAATCACATCAAACTAAAGAACCAACAAATACCTCAAGTAATTAATTAATAAAGAGTCCTGTAGAGATACAGTAAATAATTAATGGACTATACTGATAGTGTGTAGATTATACTTGCATACTTTGCCTAGTTGTAATGGACCAATCAGATTCATAATTAATTCATGTACCATCAGTTCTTCAGGAGGTTCTCCTGTTTAAAATTGCCCATTTGTATCAGGTTTTGCTAAGTAAATGAAGATGCTACAGCTTGTAATTATTGTTCATGGTAGAGACCAGATACAATTACAATTGTATCTACAATTTGTATGTAATACGCTAAATTAAAGAATTGTTAAGTTTAAGAATTAATTTTGTGTCACTTTTAAAACTGATGAGTCATGTACAATTTGTATGTGATATAGTCAAGAGTAAATTGACTTGTAATACTGTATAGCGGGTATATTTTGTCTGGAAAAATGTTTGTTCTAGAAATTTTCATTTGTTTTATTTTCGTTCTGAGCAGCCATTTTGCACATGTGGCATTGAGGAAAAAACGCCCTTTTTGTTTGAAAAATGTTCATTCCACAAGGAATGAGAATGAAAAGAACGAAATTAAACTCGAATAGAATATACCCACTATACGGTATAGTAAATTCAAAAATTGTTTATGATTAATAATTAATTTTTAAATAAAAATTACAAAAATCACAAAAACTACAAATTTGAAATTTACCAAAAAATCACAAAAATTAAGTTACATCTATACATACAAGCCGGTTCAACTTGAAATGGTTCAGAAACCAGCTCAATTGTGTCCACACTTAACTGCATGTGGTTGAATCAGTTTATAAGTACTACAGTGACTTTCACCCTACAAGAGAAGGAGAGAGAGAGGGGAAGAAGGAAGAGAGAGAAAGGGGAAGGGAAAGAAAGAGATGGAGGGAAGTAAAGCCGGAGGGAGAGAGAGAGAAGGAGGGAGGGAGGGACAATAATTATTGATTCCAATACATTAATAAAACGTACAATTGATTGTTGTTTACTGTCACTTGATAAAAGATAGACCACACCCATTCCATCCTAGCAGCTGTAATGACTTACTGGTACAAAAACCAGCATCACCTGGAACAACACACAAACAAACATCATTAATAAAATAATATAATATTATCATTTATCCTATTATACTGTATTAAAATAATAATATACACACATTAACTGACTGACTGTGTTTATTATTAGGAGAAGAGACTGGAGAGGTGGAGTGGTCCAGTGTTAGTGTAACCCTCATTAAACCATCAGCAGGTCAATGTCAGGAAGTGATCAGTCAATTAACGGACAGTCATCAGAACATGATTGTCCTCCATCACTCATCACCTGATATTGTATACTTGATGATGTCTCAAGTACTAGACATAAGAACAATAAAGGGGATTTATATAAGATACACTAAAATAACAAAAGATGTCATCCTCTTACTGTCACACAAAATAACAAACAATACTTCAATAAAGACACTATGGATCAGTCCCAATTGCATCAATGATGATGGAGTCATTGCACTAACACAATCATTAATTAATAATAAAACAATTACTGGCTTATTTCTTCATGGCAATCCTGACATCACTTCAACCAGTGCTCAGTCACTAGCTGAACTTTTACTCTACAACCACACACTATCTTTACTTACTCTCTTCAGCACTAACATTGATACTGATGGAGTACTGGTACTGATGGAATCTCTCAGGACCAATAATACACTAAGGACACTATACCTAGACAAGAAACATGAACAAACTTGTTCTTCTTTACCTTATTATAAAACTATTGAAAACAGATTGGGCTTTTAGTAATTATTTCATGTACATTATTAGTTTATTAATAAATTATAAAGGAAAAAA